GATGCCCTAATCATAAATTTTCTTACCTCAGCCCCAACCATGGTGGGGCTGTGAAAGTCCCTCCCTGGTTCACCTTTCTTTCGAATTCCTGGATCTGCCACTGTTCATTTATTATATAATTATTTTTGCGCTTATTTATAATGCGTCTATTGCAATTTTCACTTTATCCTCTCAAACAGCCCTAAGAACGTTCAGTGCGCTACTTCACAGGGGGATTCGCCCCCTTGACCCCGCCGGGGTCCTACGTAATTCGCATAACGGTTCCCCCCTTTCAAAATCCTGGCTACATCCCTGAAGGCAATAATGTAGGCCTAAGGATATTATATTTTCTTTTGCTTAGACCGTTGATCAATTGGCTGGGAATCAAACTAGGATTTTACTGCTGCGGCGCTGAATCGAGAGTATATTACCCTGCGTGTAATTAAAAACTTTGAGAAACAGAGGTTTCAAATACAATGCATACAATGTTAAATTGAATAAATAACACAATGATGACACAAGCATTTCTTTATAAACGTTTATTTACGATGACGTAGGAAAGAGCTAATGGGAAGCTTTGTGTTAAAACTAGGCCTACTCAAAATCAAAAACTAGTTCACTTGTCATGGGATGAGTTGATTATTGTTTATAAAGTATAGACCTATGTAAAATCTCTCTTTGAATATGCTGCCCCTGTTTGGGATGCTCTGGTGTCTCACTTTTGAACTGAGTAACATGCTTGAAAAGCTTAAAAAACGAGCCTTTTTGGGAAATCAGTATGACCATTGCACGCATTTCACTGCTAAATAATTATAGGCCTAGACAAATTATGTGAACGAGAGAAAGCTTAGGCCCTAACTATTAAATTTGCACAGAAATTTGTTCGGCATCCAACATTCGAAACAAATTACAGTAGTAAAATACAATCTGAGAAACACAGTGATCATTCCCTTATTCGTTCAAAAACTGGACGATTCTGAAAAGCTCAATACCGTACCTTATTTTGTTAGACTTTTGAATAAGTAACTATTATGTATTTTTAATATACAAGTAGCCCTAAATGAATTGATAAATTAAAAACGACTTAAATGAACCAATTAATGAATCAATTAAAGGAATGTTTCACAAACATCACTTTTTCTTTACATTCTGATAGAGTCTTTTATTGAGACTACTGAATTTTTGCTTTGTTTTTGAAACACCCTTAACGGGGAGCACTGTTTCGTAAACAATTTTTGGCCTTGGTGGAGGGGTAGGCGGCATAGATATGTTTGTTTCAGTTTTTATGCCATCTCCCATATGTTCGCCATCCGTTGATATGATTATGTTACCATACGGTTGCTCATCGATTTCATTATAGGCAGCGCCATCACCGCTTACACTCACCCCGTATTTATCGGCGATAACGTACATAGGGCTTCCTTGAATTTTACAACCAAACAAGGATATCCGAAGAACATAGTTTCCGTTACTTTTACAATGGTACTTAAATGCATATACACCCGTTTCATTGTCAGTGATGGGTGGAAACACAGTTAATCCAGATGGCTCATCAACCTCAGCTATAAACAAGTCACCACCAGTAGTACATATTTTCTTATTCTTACCGATCGCCTGTATCGTGATCTCGATAACTCTTCCAGTTATGCTCAAGGACGCATGCGATCGGCAAGCAACTGTGGTTGTTCTCTTTATGACACCAAGCTTAGAAAAAACGCCTGGGATTTGTTCCAAGTAGACGTCAAGCCCACCAGAAGTAGCTGCGTCAGCAGTCGTCGTTGAGTGCTCTAACGACGTCACATTACCAACTTTAAAGATAATACTACCGTTGTCAATTGGTTCTTCAATGGCAGTTTTTCTGTTACACAGTTGATCGCTGACGCCCTCTAATGACGTCACGAGATCATAATCACTGCTATATTCATTGAAACACTTTAAGAACTGTGCTTGTTGATTCATAATCCGAATCTTGTTCTTTGTTGAGTCACGATCAACTTCTAAAGCTTTGGTCTTGATGTCTACCAAATCCATAAGTTGTTTGTGAAGCACAGCTTCACGTTGTCCGATACACTTTCTCATCTCATCGAAAAATCTTGTCATGTTTTCGGCTGTCTTAATATAAGAACTCAACAGGCGTGTCTGTTCGTTTTTAATATGTTTCTGTCGGGTTGACAGGACTCCAATCTCTTTTGTTAAGTGTGACAGTTTATTTACTACACTTCTACGAATCTCGAATGATGTGGAGTATATTTCCTCTGCAAACTGCTCATGGTCCGCGTGATCTAGTGCTGCACAGTTAGTACACAATGTTTTCTTACAAAGTTGACAGAACAGCGATAACTCTTTGTTGTGTGCTTTACATACATTTGTTTTGTTAATTTGGTTAATAACTGGGAGTGTACCCTTTGCTTTCATGTCGTTGAGAGCCTGTGACACATGCAGCTTGTTGAAGCGCAGCTTATTATGCGCAGTGATACACTCATCACAATAGAATTGAGGATAGTCACAAGTCTGACAGTAGTACGTGGATGTATCTTCAGTACAATTCTGACATTCTATTGTTACATCTTTTCCTTTTATGAAATCGAAAACCTTCTGGGAGAATGTTAAGTTCTGTAGAAAAAATAAACCTGGAAGCACGTCACCACTGTTATCTGATGCGGAAAATTCTGCGCAGCAAACCGGGCATTGAAGTAGAGTGTTTGGTTTCTTATTTGAGGCATCGATTTCCTGAATGCATGAGTAGCAAATTGTGTGAAGACAGGAAAGATACCTCGGAGGCTGTAAAAATGAAGGACAAAAACATAAAAAATACAAAACAATTAAACATCCTATGCAATGTGACAGTTTTAATGATCTAAAAGTAATAACCAATACTGTAACAAGTGGTAACTATTAACATGGAGGTATACCTCCTTGCTATTACGATCCGCCAAGGAGCTTATTATGTAATGTATTAACTGCTGTCTGTTTTACTGTCGTTTTGCCGGGCTGTTTGTAAGCAAGATTACGCAAACATTATGAATGGATCATCATAAAATTTGGTGGAATGGTACATAATGGTCAAAGGACAAGGTCAAGGCAAAGGAAATTAAATTATTCGCCCTTGAGCATAAAGAAAATAAATGAATCTCCTCTTATTCTGGCAGCACTCAAGAAAATAATGTACCTGAATACAACGGGCGATTCCATTATTTTCTTAATGGTATGCAGCAGTTTTGTCCATCATACATACACGGCCTGCTTATTGTTGGTATTCAGGCACCAGGCTGAGATATTTGCACTCCCCAAATAGCTGACGACATACATTGTCATTGCTGTTAATTTCATAGACGGCTCCCATGATCATGAAATAGAACGCTTTTGATTTTTTTTAGCATAAATATAAACCGTATTGTCACAAATCATCAGTTTGTCAATCCAATACAAATGGTATTAAGATACGATGAGATATGCACGTGGGTAGCTAATTATGATATGCATAAGGTGGCATATCGTTGTGAAGCCAGACGAATCGTTCTCTGCTCCAGTGTCAATTGGCAAGTGAACTGTTAACACAGCACAGTGCATGCCTGCCGTTAAGTCGTAGGGTAGGACCACGTGAGGCGGAGAATAGCAATGCGGTTGTGGATCCCGTGGTAGAGGCTTAACATAAAATATCGTGGTATAATAATTGAAATACCCCGCATAAAATGTGTTAATATTTATGTTCATATCTTGTTCTCGTATTTTGTATCGTTGGTTATTTTAATTTTAAGGCTGACTCCCTGGTACTAATTGATCGCTCGTCTGAAGGAAGATTGGTCTTAGCCGATATAGGAACTCGAGCCGATACTTGGTGTTCGCGACCCATAGAGGCAAGGCAGTGCGGTGAGATACAGTAAACAGAGTTGGGTGTCCATTAAAGTCAGGCTCCGGAGGAAAAAAAATTTTGATATGTTGTAGAACTGATTTTTCTAAGACAGAAAAGAGTAGTTTGATCAAAAACTGAGCAACGGTGAATGAGATACAGATTTTTGAATATTTAAAAACTGGGGGAAAAAGGTGTAAAAATGGGTAGTTGCGCCCCTCCCCCCCAGTTTTTAAATATTCAAAAATCTGTATCTCGTTCATCATTCCCCAGTTTTTCAAACAACCTTTTTCTGTCTTAGAAAAATCAGTTCTTTAAGCGTAGTAGGAGAGGCGCACAGTCAGGGTGTTTAGCGTAGTGGAGCAGGCGCACAGAGTACGGGGACTAGTGTGGTGGGAAGTTTTAATTTTATTTTTGTTTTTATGTCTATTATCTTGTCATGTCCATGGTGTAATTTGTTGGATACACATGATAATGTATTGGAGAGACAATAGTTTGTTGATTGTACTAAGTATGTTTGATTATCATGTCCGTTATTATAGATTAATATAACTTGTTGGATATTCATGATAATTCTTTGGAGAGACAATAGTTCGTTGATTATACTAAGTACCGTATGTTTGATTATCATGTCCATTTAGATTGATATAACTTTTGGATATGTATATTGATTGGGTAGACAAAATTTGTTTGTACTCATGTCTAACATGTGTATTATATAGGCCTATTGATATAATTCTTTAAATGCATGCCAATCGGTTGGAGAGACATGATTAAAGCTTGTTTATGAAATTAAATTGATCGAAACAGTGTTTTGTGTTCTATGAAAGTCTCTGTGTGTTATTGGCCTACGTGGGCGATCTAGACTACGTGACACGTATGAAACTAACGTATGTTTACTTTGGTAAATCACATTCTTTATGACTATAGTATAGTTGTCTCAAATCATTTCCTCGTTTCATATTATGTATCGCTTGCCTATTAAGCTGTAGGGCCTACTAATTTCGTTTTATATATGAACACATACACAAGCACATATGAATAAGACCTACCGTATTAATCTACGACGTGTTCTTATTTTGCAAAGGCCTATTTAAGCTAATTTCCATATGAACGGGACTTGTGGTTAAGTTGAGATTTCTGAAATTTGATCCCCTCATAATATTTGTTCTTCAATAAAAGAAAAAAACTCACATTGTCTAGCCTGCTGCTTAAAGTAGCACTTCCAATGAAAAAGGGGGCGTGTCCATTTAAAAAATGGTGTGGTAATTTTCAGGTTGTTCGTCCCAGATACAGATTTTGGCACACATCCTATGTTGTCCAAAGGGTTCATATTAGTCTATATCAGTTGAGATATTCTCTCCTATATCTTAAGTGCATACATAGTTTAGTCAGGTCCTCTAATATATGTACGGATGTATAAATTGTAGGCCTATAAGGCCTATAGAAACCTAATTATAGGGCCTATATGGCGAGGCATTGCTTATGTAGAGGCCTATGTGCTTATCAGCGAACTTAGGAATATACTAAGACCATAGACAAAGAGAAAAAGCAGACCCGAACATGTCACCCGTTTCAGCACTTTTACTAAACTAGAGCGTGCCTCCCGGGTATCCCTGTGACACTGCCGTGTGGCTATCGTGTGCTCCACAAAGCTGCGAATTTAATTACTCAATCGTTGGGTAGGGAATATAGTGGACTATCGCTCAGGCAATCCCTGTAACTTCGGAGCAGCGACTAGGACTCTCGTCGTAAGATTTTAAACGGCTTGTTCGATCGATATCCCCCTGCAGGGACGTATCCAGGTGGGAGAAGCGCCCCCCCCCCCTTTTGTACACAGTGTTAAAATTTTAAAGTTTGTTCTTGAGCCAATACAAATTCTTTCCTGGGATCACTCAAAATGAATACTTCTAAAACATGTAAATATGCATCAGTACACGTTATACATAGCCCTAAGCGTGATTAAAAAAAATCTTAAATCCATAAATCTCAAGCCAGGTCTTTTAAGATATATATATATATATAGTAGAGCGGCTAAGGTTGAATTTCAGATAGAATCGTGCAATTCTGGAAGAAAGCATGAAACTTCCCACAGTGATATACTATGGCACCTAAAGATCATTAAAAAAAATAGACCCCAAAAAATAACGCCACCTAATGGCCACCATCTTGAAATCCAATATGGCCGCCAAAATATTTGATTTTAGCCAATATATTTATATCTACAGCATATGTCATTGCCAAATGAAGATCATACCCATGTTTTCAATATCAGGGAGTGTCATGCAATCATCAGAAATTATGTCAGATGGCGCAGCCATATTAGATTTCAAGATGGCCGCCAGATTAATGATATTTTTGTCAATATTCATATCTACAGTACCTAGCACTGTCAATCAAAGACCGTTGCCCATGTTTTCGATATCAGGGACTACCATGCAGCCATCAGAAATTATGTCAGAAGTCCACCATATTAAATTTCAAAATGGCCGCCATCTTGAAATTTAATTTGGCCGCCAAAATAATTAATTTTATCCTATGTATTCATATTTACAGCACATATCACTCCAATTGAAGATCATTACCCATGTTTTCAATATCAGGGAGTGTCATGCAATCATCAGAAATTATGTCAGATGGCGCAGCCATATTGGATTTCAAGATGGCCGCCAGATTAATGATATTTTTGTCAATATTCATATCTACAGTACCTAGCACTGTCAATCAAA